GGCTAAAAGTACACCGTTACGCCATTTTGTCCGCGTAGGATTTCCGAGCGAGCGTTAAAAAATCATGATAAAATCGAGATTTAATATATATCCCAAACCCGTGTCGAGATTTCTTTCGTTTCGCGCGGGTCGCATTTTCGCGTCAACGGTATTCTCGTGGTCTCTCATGGGCTCGAGAATTACTGAACGGAACTTTGGAGTCAAATAAAACGTCACGCGCGCTGTGCAGTCAGAGTTTCCCCCAAGTATCTCACGAATGAGATGCTAAACAAACTCGCGGATACTTCGCTGCAATAACGAAGATATGTGCAGCGCGTCGTTGCACGGCTCGCTGTACCGTAATTGTCGCGTTCGGGGAAATGGTGATATTTCGCTGTCACCGTAGAACGATAAAAATTGTAGAACACTCTCTTCTCACGGATACGACGGAGTTTTGTGGCGAAACGGATGGCGCATGAAGCGGAATAGCTCATAAACTGACGGCATTCTTATTGCAAGCCAAGCGAAGAGATAAAGGAAAAAGAGAGACAAACAAAGAGAGAGAGAAAGAGCAATCTAAAAAGAAAGAATAGAGTTCCACTTGAAAAACGAAGAGAGCGAGATATCGGTGTTTTTCGTTTTCCAGGAGCGACAAGCAAATTTCCCTCTAAATGATAACCGCAATGATTCATCGCGCGGAAGAAAACAGGCATCTTTTCTTCATGTCACCATTTATTCGGCTCAAAATACCATTGAAAATAAATTAATCACATGGTTCAACTAAATTACCAGGAAAACTTGAAGCACTGTGTGTTACGAGTGTCGAGATATATAATCTGGAAACGAGATAACGACTGATCACGTTATCTCGTTTCCAAATCCTTTCTAAACACGTAACGTTTCGAGAAAAATATTCGGGAAAATATCTATCGGGATATATGTGTGGAGAATAAAGTATCGATAGCTCTTACAGTCGGAATAATTACCGGGAAATCGGGAAATCGGTGTCGCGCTCGCGAAATAACTTCTCGCTCCGGCGCTCTCAAACTCCGCCATTTCCCTCGCGATTAAACGTCTCGCACGCTATAATCGGCGTTTCGCTTCGCGTAATGGTTAGGCAAATACCACGACGGAAAACTTCGTTGTTTGTAGCTCTGAAATGTCACCGCGAAAGTTTCGCTGACGATGGTCCACTGTTCGCTCTCCGCAAAGTTTCAAGAACTCAGCCTTCAAATATCGATGAAGACACGGCCCAGGATTCGTTCGTTCGTTCGCTGATTCACCTAAATGGCGCAACTTCCCGTCGCGTTCATCCCCACTGTGACGTTGATATTTATACTCGTTGCGTATTCACCTATAGCGCATACATTTATCTGATTTATATTTAAACCACTCCAAGACCACGAAGCGCCAACGAATGACCGGAAGCGATGCGAGAACAACTTTATTTCCAACCGTGAGAGATAGCTCTTTCGCCGGCTTTCAATTGGCGTATCGATATCGGCACCGCCGTCTTGAGAAGCACGGAGGCGAACACGCTCAATTCTACTAATGGAAACCGAGCTGGCTCCACTGCAACGCGCCTCGATCGCGACATACGTATTTTTCCCTATTTATGTCTCGGCCAGGGAAAAAAATATAGTCCCGACTTCAGATTCTCCATTGTGCGCTTAACCCATAGCTCACGAGCTCTCCGTTGTATGTGGCGTCGCATTTGGTACATATATAAACTCTATTTCGGCGTCCAGCATTCTAGCAGCCCTCCCGCGTCGCTTATCTACTTGCTATTCGAACACCCTTTCGGATAACAATGTTCCTAGGCACCATTCTGCCGGGGCATTCGAGATAGCGAGGAGAATCGGGAACAATGCTTGCCGGGAAAGCCGCCATGTCCACATCGACGAGAGACGTCGTGATCCGAATTGGTAACGTTATCTATTCATTGCAAAGTGGCCCGAGACGTAATCGGCTCGAGCATTCGAGGCGGGGTTAACGCGGATACACGGTCACTTTAAAGCGAAGTTAATTTCGCCAAGACCGCCGTCGGTTCGTCATTCCGATGATCGGAAATCAATTCGCCACGACTCGACCCCAGACAGTCGATCGAGTGTCCGTGGCCAAGTGTCTCTCGCACTTGATTTCGCGGTGCATTCGCAACGACACACTTCCTTCTGCGAACGCAACATCGATCGTCGACGCCAGTCATCGCGACGCCGTCTGCGGAGAGCGCCGTAAATCCGCGGAAACAATTTCTCCCAGAGTCACGCTTTATTCGCGGGAAAACAAACAAGCGCTCCCTCTCATTGTCATTCCGCGTCTCGCGCTTATTAAAAGTAGAGAGGCGGCGTATGAAAAAGAGGGAGAGAGAAAGTATGTGTGCAATTTCTCTTTGCCCATTAAACTGCTCGGAATGTTTGCGCGACACCCATGCAAATTAGCCGAGTAATAATCGCCGTCAAACGCACTTGGGAAATACGTAGTTTGAAGAAAAAAATAAACATTTGCGAGGAGATGCGCCGGGCGCCAGAGATAAATCTTGGCGAAGAGCTTTGGACAGAGGCGCGCGCGCGAGGCTAATAATAAAGACTCTTCTATAATGGCGGTAACAGCTTTAAGTCCGTAACGCAAGTCGCAAGCGAATTATTTCCATTCATTGTTCCCATGTCTCGCCAAACGAAACAAAGCGTAAGATCGCGCATAATAAATTCCCCTCTCTGATTGGTCCTTACGTGTTACAGTAGGCCATTGTGGATGGTTCTGGGAATATTAAATTCCACGGGCCATCAGTTAAATGTTACAGACTTATAGCTACACCGTTAAAGCCATTGCAGAAGGGTCTTTAATCTCCACTTTAATGACTCCAAACGCCCTGACAGCGCTAATTCAAGTGCCGTCGCGCGAAAAGCCTCGCGAGCGCGCGTGCGGCCAGTCTCTCTGGCACTCATGCGATTAGATAAGGAATTTAATAACGTGGATGATAATGCAATAGCGGCGACGGGCCGCGCGCAAGCGCGATGGGAAGCATAAAAATGCAACGTCTCGTGTCGCACGTGTACGAAGTAATACGGCGCGTTCGCGTCGATTATTGCGGAACAAAGGCACCGTCGTCGCAGGATCAAGTGGAGAAAAGGGAGCGAAGCTCTCCTCCGCGAGGTCGCGGGAGCACCAGCCGGGTGCTGCCGTTCTCCCAGTGACGTGGTTCTTCTCCTACCGCGCGCTGGTAACGCCACGTACGCGCGCACGAATGCCCGGGCCGGAAAGGTCAAACGGGGTTCCTGACATTTTCCCGTTCTACCGAAATTGGGTTGCGCGGTAAATCCTCCCAGGATACAAGCCGAAGTAGGTCTTTCGAGCATTAAGCGAAAGGGGGGGAGGGGAGAGAGGCCGCAACTAGCCGAGCCGTCTATGTCACCCCTTCCGCGGCCCATTACAACGACCGGGCACGGGTTTAGAATAACTGGGGGATATATTGTCCGCCACGAATTTATCCGAAGTGCGCTAACATAGCTCTAACGAACCTTAAAGCGACACTAAGACTGTTGATGGATTGTTCTCCGAGAGAAAATCGTCAACTGTTGCCCACCCGTTGACATCTCCTTGAACCGTTGCTCAACGTCACGGCTGCAATTCATACCTCGAGTCCGGACCTTGAGGATCTCGGGGGAAACGGATGTGTGCCGTACGCGACCGAATAAGATACTCTTCCTCGAATTTTCCGCGGAATCGGGAGTAATTAACTCTCTCGAGTTAATTGTTGCGACATCCGCGGTCGTAGTCGCACGTGGCATGTTTGATGCGTTCTATCGTGAAACAGTCGGCGTGTTTCACTTTTCCCTGAAGTCCGCCCGCGATATCACTTCGACCAACTGGGGTGTGGCGACGTGCTGATCGATACTATAAAAAGGTCGCCTTAGCGTCTACGCGAGACTGACGGGCGACTTGTTTGTATATGAACACGCGCGTGTATGTGTGTGTGTGTGCATATCACACGACGGAATGGAGTGTCGCGGAAAGCTACGCGAAGACGCCGCGTCGTTCGCTTCATCTTCCAAAGTGCATCTTCCGCCGTGACGTAACGTGAGTCGCAGCGATTGCACGATCGCGGCAAAATGAGGAGTTGGCAAACTTCGCCGGTGTGCGCGATGTGTGTGCACTCGCTACGTTAACCCCATCGTGGTCGAGTTAATTAAGACCGTCGAAGCTGTTTGCGGGAAATTTGGAACGTGCCACTTTACTTCCTCGCGTCTTTTCGCCCCTTCTATGACTATTAAGACAGATTGATTTTCAAGTCATTGAAGGAGAAACGATTTCGAGGCAGAATTAGTTAGAATTGCGCACAATGACGTCTCGGTTTCTCCTTTGGCGCGACGTAATAATTGGCAACGAGAACAATTGACGTGGCCAACCTTTGTAACCCATATTCATCGGCATGATTGAGGGAGAAGATACAAACATCGAGTCGAGGGGGACTCGGTGATCCGTGCAGTTAATAGAACATCGTTCTGTCGCTCGTCCTCGTTAATTTTTTTTTCGTAGTAACATATAAAGCTGCCTCGCTGATAAACAATTCCTCGCGCCGCGGCGACCCATTATATGGAGCGGCAACAATAGCCTTGGTAATAACCCGGACGAACACGGACCGTACGCTACAAGGTGCACGATGCCATATTTGCATCATAAACCCGCAGACATTGAACGTTAACTCCGTGAGCGCGCGAAATTGTTGTTGAAGTACAACGAAATTGCCGCCCGGTGGGGTCGCTCGTTGAATCGCCTATGTGTCGTCGTTGTTGGCGTGTTATTTCAGAATTAAGGACGAATCGCGAAAAAGTCGCTCACGTTGCGATAGAGAGGAAGAAGGTGGAGAAGAATGGAAAAAAAACCCGCGTTGAAATGTGCCGTCGGGAATTTGAGATCGCCGCCGAGTTGATTGGCACTTTCTCGCGCGAGGAATGTCGGATTACTTTTCGCCCCGCTGCTTATACGACGCGAATAATTAAACGATTGATTTTCATGCGCAGCACGATGCCCTCCGATAGCATGGACGACATCGAGCTGAAGAACATTCAGCTGCAATTTCCGGCACTGAGATACCTCTCTAGGGACGACGGCTCCGTGCGGGAAGAAAGGGTGGAGACCGACAAGGGAAGTGTGCTGGTGGCGGTGCAAGGGAATCGAGCGAAACCAGCTATCCTCACTTATCACGATCTAGGCCTTAATTGTGAGTAATTTGGAATAAAAACGCTCATAATGACATTTTTTCGCAGCCATGCCGGGTCGGGAGAATAAATGTCAGAGGGCACAGCGAGGAAAAAATGTAATCAATTCCATTGTACATACATATTTGTCCCTTTTGTTCGTTCAGTGCCGCAATAAGCGAGCACTGATTACGCGGTTTACATGGTGATTACAACGGTTCACACATTTTACGATATTGAATTCGATTCCAATTTACAATCCATTCCGAGAACTCGGTTTCTAATTTCAGTTTGCTCGCAGATTTAAACGGTCCGATTTCCAATATATCGCTGCTGATGTTTATATAGAAGATTATGCCCTGTGGGGATTAACATCTGGCATTTTTATTTGAAAACAAAACATATTGTTTTTCCAGACATCTCGAGCTTCCAGGCGTTCTTCAATTACATCGACATGCGTGTTCTACTCGAAAACTTCTGCGTGTACCACGTAAACGCACCCGGACAAGAGGAGGGCGCACCGACGCTACCCGAGGAGTGAGTTAATTTTTCAGTTCATATGAACTCTGAGAACGTCACAGCTAGTTTAACGATTCGTCGAAAGAGTAAAGCGTCGAGTCTTTGAAACTATGTTTAACGTAGGAGGCGTGCAAAGAGACAGAAAGAGAGGAGGGGGGAAAAGAGCGAAGAGAAAGAGAGCAATCGATTGAGTCGCGTTCAGAACGAAAGCTATCTCCTTTGTCTTATTAAGATCTCGTTAAAAAGCAAACTAGTACTTGATGATAAACTTAATGAACGTATCTGCGAGTAGAGAGATCTCATGAGCCTCTAATCGAGCTTCAATCTCGTCTGGATGTACGATAGGTACACGCGTCCTTTTGTGACGGGCGACTTCAATTAGCGCGAATCAATGACCTAATTAACGTCTCCATCAAATTCAGCCCAATTTCACAGGCAGCTAGTCGGCTCTCAGTCATAATTCCGCGCAGCACAAGCTTACTAAAGCGATATTTTTATTATTTCGCACGGTCGCTGTTCGAGTGCTCGAATATTCGTGTAATATCGCAACTAGAATGCACTGGTACGGGTTCGGGGTTATCGATTGTTACATAATTTGTCTGTCCTATGCTATCTATTATGCTAAATGAAACCAAGATATAATAAATAAAAGCGAAACTTGTGTGCATTATCTCTCTCCTCTTCAGCTCGAGGTCGCGATGGAAACGGTACATTCGTTGCCGTACTTTGGAAGTTACATGAAATATCGACGAAACTCACGAGAACGACAGAACCGGTCGATTCTTCTCCATTACTTGCTCGTAATAATTTGAGATTTATGACACCTGGGGACATAAATTACCGCCGGCATAAAGCGCGTAGTGAGAAGGGAAATTTAACGCGCCGTCCTGTTAGAGAATTATTCTCGCAGAGGTGGTTAATTATGCCGGCCTCAAACGACCAAAGCTTACCATAGGGGAGACGTACGTTTAACTAAACGCCGTGTTACAAAATCATTTAGGCCGCAATGCAGATTTGCAATGCGGAGGTTGTGTCAGTTGGTCTTCGCTCGCGTGCCACATCCCACCAAGACTGCGCGAGCTTCGAATGTCAATACATTATAATAGTTCCGGAGTACATGCTGTTTACGGTCATATTCGCTCCTCTCGCTAAACAATGATTACGAATTGATATAACATGCAATATTATTAATTAAAATCAGTTCCATCCGGGATTTCTATCGGGACTGACGGTGTTAACGACAAATTTCTCCAAATTTACATTGTTCGCCGGACATGCGCGCGCGTGAAAACTAATATCGACGCATTATCAGCGACACGGAATCCGCTTGCGTAATTAATGTCGGAGAGAGAGAGAGAAAGACAGAGAAGCAGAGACAAAGAGAAATAACGAGCGATAATTTCGCTGGAAATTTAAAATTATAAATTGTGGATTTCACCTTTTAATACTGGTCGCGCTTGAAATTCCGCTTAATATTATTTGCCGTGTAATTCCCCTCGAGAGACAGCGGGAAAATGTAACTTAAAAATCGTAAACTCGTTAGGAAGTGTCGATATGTTTTCAACAGGCTTGCGCTCTTTCGAAGACTCGATTTACAATGCAGATACAGGCGACTTCGCGAGCAGCTTAGATGCCAATTGAATTTATGTGGGAGCACGTAACGCCATTATCGAGGCGAGAGACTACCGAGAAGTTATCTCTAAAGGGACAACTCTTTGTGCCGTTTCAGCTACACCTATCCGTCCATGGAGGAGCTCGCGGAACAGCTGCTCTTCGTTCTCGGCCACTTTGGCATCAAATCTGTAATTGGTTTCGGGGTTGGTGCTGGCGCCAATATCCTGGCACGATTCGCACTCGCCCATCCGGAGAAAGTTAATGCACTGTGCCTGATAAACTGCTTGTCCACGCAGGCGGGTTGGATCGAGTGGGGTTATCAAAAGTTGAACGTGCGCCACCTGAGGTCGCAGGGCATGACCCAAGGCGTTCTCGATTATCTCATGTGGCATCATTTCGGCAGGGTGAGTACACGCGCGCTCATAACTTGAGTCCGCATTATGATTTAGTGATGAGCGACGTCAGCCGCGAATCTAATGTACGCCCATGGCTACGAAGTTGAATTACCGTCGCGATATTTTTACGCGCTACAACGCGCCGCTTTCCACGCGAATAATAACAGACGACGTTCATCTAACTTGGAGTTTACGTTAGAAGCTCGACTCGCTACGCATATGCACGTCATCGGGAAGAAAAGTACGTTGAACGTCACGTTGAACACTCGACTGTTTAATTGTCCGGATAATGTAAACTTCCCGCGTCTGTTTCCGAAGCCCTTTTACGGAGGGTTAGAACGTGTTCCGGGCGAGATTATCTCACGTAGCTCATTTCACTGGGCACACGGAGTTAATAAACCGCGGCGGGGTCTTATGAGGCACGAAATAATGTCAACCGAGTTAGCGCTCATGCGCGAGAGCACGAGATGAATTATCGACGACGGCGAGCTTAGGCTCTCAAAGGGTCCTCGTATCTCCTTGAAAAGCGAAACGATTAGACCGATATTTTAACGCGTCGTTGTTGTACGTCGTGAAGATTACCGCAGTTCAAAGACGACCTTTCGCCTTTACGATTAACCTCAATGATTAAGCGAACATGAAATTAAATGATGTACTATTTCTCACATGTATACGGGATTCATCCCACGCGTAAAATGAAAATAACAAACTGGAATGAGTGAAAATCGCGCGATTATTTCACGATACGCACGTTGAATCTCGAATATTGTCGCAAGAAGACAAAAAATGTCCAGCGTGATACACTGAGAGAAACAATAGTAAAACATTAATTTATGAGATGTGACATTCGTTTCTCTGCGAGATAAAGTTTATTTCAGCGAAATAAAGTTTGTCTCTGTGTGCACACATATACACAAACTTTGTATCCTTCGCGCAAATAAATTCCCAAGTATTTTCTTTTCCCAGCGAACATTCCGCGAGATTAAGGCTCATTATTGGAGGAATTAATGAAGTGAGTAACATGAATCGAACGGGACTATCAAAATCGAGTCTCGGTGTCGGTATCGAAAGCGCGAGGGCAGATAATTTTCAAGTAAAGCCGCCGGGGTCGGCGGCTCTTTCCTGGCTTCGCCTGACCGTCATTCCGTTCCGTTGCATTCCCTCCCAACCGACACTAATGATGGGTCTTGCCGGTTGTTTTTACCTTCGTCGCGACGCGAAGAAACCGGATCGTGAGCACCTACGACGTTGCCGCGCTCCGCTCCGCTCCGCCGGGACTGCGAAATCGTTCGATCGGCCTCAGAGGAACGCGGTTTACTTTGATTATGGATAATCGCATGCACAATCGACGCAGGATCAACGCGAAGAGGCCATCTCATCCGGCGGCGAAGAGAATTCCGCCACGCGCACTTGTCACTTCAGCAAGGCGAGCTCCGCGATTATTCCGCGGCGAGTTCGCACGCCGCGCGTGTGTGCAAATTATTTCGTTAAAGCCTTCACGTAACGTCGGGTGAATGTTTGGATTGCAAATTGCGTCATAGTCGTGTGACTCGTTCGAAATTAACGACGCTCGTTAAAGCCGAGGTGATCTTTTCGAGCAGGGAACCGAGGAGCGGAATCACGACTTGGTTCAGGTGTACAAGAACTACTTCGAACGCCGCGTCAATCCGACGAATCTCGCCTTGTTCATCGACAGTTACGTACGTCGCACGGATCTGAACATAACAAGGGAATTGGATCCGACGCGCAAGAAGGAGGGCCTGACGCTTAGCGTGCCGGTGATGAACATCACCGGCGCCCTAAGCCCCCACGTCGACGACACCGTAACGTTAAACGGACGCTTGGATCCGACGAACAGCTCCTGGATGAAAGTGAGTTTCTTCATTACGTGATATTTCATTAAGCGTCCGGTTGGATGCGCTGATACTCGTCGAGGTAACTCGGATACGCCGAAGAGAATTAATTCGCGAAAAAAACGCGCGAGTGAAAAATAATTCCTCTTCGAGGCGCAAAGCGCGCGCGTGCACTTTTAATTACGCGTCTCATAATTGCATCCTGTCTCTCAGATATCGGACTGCGGCATGGTGTTGGAGGAACAACCCGGCAAAGTGAGCGAGGCGTTCCGGCTGTTCCTGCAGGGCGAGGGATACGGTAAGTGAGCGTTCTCGCGAGCCATACCCTAGAGATTAATTAATCACCGATTAACTATCGATTGACAATTCTCATTGATCTTCACTGGTATAAGCGATTCGCGCACGCGTCGTCGGGTTTCGTAAGGAGATATCTCGTGATCGCCTGCAAAGCGGAAGTGCGAGACACGTCAGTAATTACTGCCAGCCAACTAGGACAGACTCGCGTCGGGATGTCGTAAGAGCTTTCAGCAGCAATGGACGTGGATGGTATATATATATATATTTTTTTTTTTCCCGCGGAAAACAAGAACCAAACAACTTCCAGCGCGTTGCAGGCGGTCGCGCAATTTTTCGCACGACTAAGCGGACAGGCGGGAGACTTTGATCGCGGTCATTTTTAGCATTAAGTTTGCTCTACCGATTGGTGTGTCGTGTCGCGCTACGATATCGAATTTGGCCTACTGGATCTTTAGATAACGCGTCGGTTGTCATCGCGCGACCGCGTTCCTTTCCAACGATAGACGCTATGCGAATAGAGTTCGTATTATCCTCGGACGAAGGTCGAGAAGAACGGATTCGATCATTCTCAAATGAGAGACCATGAAAATTGACCGTTTGTGAGCTTATACGTGTGTTTCGACCACACGTATTAGTATCTAAAGTACTCCCACTTGATCGTTCGTTGTAATTCATGATTCTTCGGATAGTCGACTTCGGACGTCACGCTTTTGTGAATTTCGGTCGAATCGTTCGTGTGATGTGACTTTAACTTTGATAATGCTAATAATGAAGAAATTGAACGGTGACGTGCATTCCGCGTAACACCTAAATGCATGTTTTCCCCAAGTGAATGTATATTAAACTAAGACTTTGTAAAATAGTTACCGTTACACAAGTTAACGTCTTGGAGTCTTATGATCTCGGGACTCTTGTTCTTTTTATAGCGGTGTTGCACATGTACACATTGTTTTATGTTACGGAGCGTAACAGTTGCGCGCGTTGTGAGAGCCGTTGTGCTTACACAATTACAAGAGAAACGTCGTAGAGGGACGTACACTCACTCGTGCAATTTAACGATGGAATAACGCTCCCTTTAGATCAGATTTATCGTTTTGTTCGGCTTTTTAATCACAAGGACACTATAGAACCGATCACTGAACACCACGCTTTCTCACGAGTCGATACAGACGAGATACCACAGCCTGATCAGATAATTTCGCAAATTGATTTCGCGTCTTTCGCTCTTTACTTCCGACTCGCGCTTTCATCCACCGACCAGTACAAAAGTTACATCATTTTTCATCACGAGTAATCCGCGAGTGACATTCTCTTGAGTGACAGTCCTTTCTATCTCACACCTCGTCAGCGTCGTTAACTATTGTTGTCGCGATCGTCAAATTTCGCTCCTATAGCAGAATTTCCATGTTGTGCAAGTGGCGCGATACTTAGGCAACGCTGAATCCGGGTGTAACAGGACTGATGTTGCGTACGCACTACTTCATTTATCGCGTTCAGCGCTGATGTACTACTACGACATGTGATTCGTTAAATAAGCCGCTTTACCTCTGTGCTAACGAACGGCGAAAGCCGCCTGATTACACCGAGATTCAAAATACGTACTCGAGCATGTATCTCTGTTCATTGAAAAGCCACTGGTTCGACTTGACAAATAAAGGGTGATTATGAAAAGAGATTGCATTGAATTCGTCTGTGAATCTCGTCGATCTTTCGAGTTATATTAGAGAGAAACAAAAAAAGAAATACACAAAGAAAGAAAGAAAGAAATAAAGAAATAAGGCAGATAAGAGAAAAAAAGTATAATACATGTTCATCGACTTGCGCCTTTATTTCCCACGCGTCTCGGATCGATCGAGTGGTATGTATATATTACAACAATCTCTCAGCTGAACAGTAGCGTAATTAGTTACGGCTTGTTTGCTATTTTTTTTCATTTCTCGTTGTTTTCGAAACAGTTCCAAAGGACCGCGCTGAAATAAAACGCGCTTGTAAAACAATAAAACAAGATGTTCATACAGTCGAAATGAATTAATGAACATGCCATACGATTGTCTGTTGTCCGAAAACGACTCAGATGTATCTCGCGATAACGTGGAATTATATGATGAAATTCTGACGTGGAATTATATTTCATACGACCAGAAATCATTCGAAAGAATGTAATGGAATGAAATTATTTAGGTTGTTTACTACTTTTGAAATATTGATACAAAAAAACGGTATATTAATCAGTTTTTTATTCAATTAATAAATATATAATAAATATATAATAAACATTTCCGTTCGGCATCGATATATGGACCTGAGTCGAAAGACAATGGGCACTTTTGCAAACGAAATTTTAGAGCAGTACTTTAAATAAATTGATTACTGCACTGCTGTCTCTTGCTGTAATCCACTCGTAATTTTTCCAAAAGAAAGAGAAAACAAATAAATAAATAAGTATATCAAGAAAATAATTGACCTATCGATGTTTCGCACCAGCAATGCTTTCAAAGATAGCAATAGCGAATTCAGTGCGCTACACTATCACGTTTGTGTTCATGATTTTTAAATGGAATATGTTTTCTTATACGTTTTAGTGGTGAGATCCTCGCGGAAGCCCGTGAAGCCGACAACACCCGAAGGTAATTGTAATTAGGAATTGAAGGCCGCAAGGAGTCGAGCGCGCAGTTGGTCAATTAGGCCACGTCTATGCGTTAAGTAAGTCGGAATTCAAACTTTTTTCGGAAGGTATAAGAAGTACTAACAATGAGAGATGTGTCCTGAAAAATCTCGGATTCCCGAGATTCTAAAAAGAAAAAAAAAAATAAGAACAAGAGAGAAAAAAGACTAACTTTGACTAACCATTCTGGCAATTCTCTGGATACTGCACTAACCTCGTCTGCTGTGATGACGATGACTAAAAGTCTATAATAATTTTCGCCTCGTTAAACCTTTCCGTGCATATTGGCGCGAGCGTCATCTCATTCCTACATTTATTCCTATATTTATTTCGCCGTCCGTACGATTTTTCCGTGTCAGTTCTGTTTCGCGAGTCTGACGCTGGAGGTGCGACTTTGGGGAATTCACAGACTGCAAAGTGATCAAATACACGACGAGTAGAAATGCCCGGTGAACTGATTAATGGTGAATCGGTCTTATCCACTGAGTTCTTCTGTTTCATAGTTCTCGGTAGTCGGTAGCGACATATCCGTTCGCAATATTAACAGGGACCGACCTGTTGCGCTACCCTCCGATACAGGTGATCCAAATTATCCACTTTACGTAAATAAGCGAAAGAGACTAATCCATCTTACAACAGCACACACACATACACATACATATACACTCTCTCACACACATACAAGTCGGAACAACGTGAAAGGTTTGTTCCTGCGAAACAGTGACCGAACAATGAGGAGCAAAAGCAATTTCGCACCTGGGCAATCTATAGAGTAGTGTATATCCAGTCCATGCTACAAAAGAACCCCACAGCGCCTCGCTATGCGCACACAACAGATCACCCACCAACAGTACACCAAAGAGTTCTTCCTTTATTTTGCATGTGCGCTTTTACTTTTTCATTTTGGATCCTCCGTTCGGCGGTCGATTTTTTTACGTTCGCGTAACAAAATTCGAGCGAACGAACGGGATTCTACCACCGCGCGTTATATCACAGCCTCCTCAAGGCGAGGTTGACGACGGCGAAGAACGACGAAGCCGAGATTACGTACTACCTTTCCTCTATTTCTTCTTTTCGTTTGCAGTGGCCCCGCTGTCGCCGTTAAAAATGGCCGACTACAGATTGGCTTCGTTGGAGGGACTGAATCACGTGTGCAGCAAGAAGATCGACTGGCCTACCGCGACCATACACATCACGGAGAATCCGATATCGGAGGCAGTCGTCTGTTAAGATGTCGATCACCGAGGACCTCACCACCGCCATCGATTTTCGTTACGTAATCAAACGAGCATACAATCGGAAGACGACGCGGCGACATGGATGGATGGATGGATGGATGGATGGTATAGCTTTAGGAAGGTTTCGTCGGGGCAACGATCCCTCGCGGCACTAATAAACGCGCTGGTTTCTTTCCGGAGCTTCTGTCGGCACCGCACTTACTTTTTAAAACGCGACTTTGAGCTGGGTCGACCACACGCGTTCGTAATAAGTGTTTAATTCTAAATAACTGTATAAGTTAAGAGCTTTAAAGACGGTTTTTATTACTTAAGAGATACCGGATGTTTTATCTACGGTTGTTCTTGGTATTTGGCGGGCTGTTATTATAATAGAAGTGGCGATTCGTTAAGGATACATAAGAGATTAATGTTAACGTTGCGTACGATCGGATGACCACGTTGAGTTTCAACCCGTTCCACTTTCGGGACTTTTAACGAACGGTGCGCGGCGCGACTTTTTGAGAGCACCGTTCGCTCTTTTTACATCACGAGGAGAACTTTTGCGATCGTTTTAGCGGGGTATGTTTGCGATTGTCGTTTGAGGAACGTTCATTTGAATGGCAGAGGCGGGTATTCCTGAAAATTTTGATGATCCGAAAACGAACATTCCCCCCCTGCGAATATTTTAATATACCATTACCCGAGGAGATTTCAGAGAGAGGTGCGAATAAACATGTTCAACACTTCGAGGTGTACTTCTATGTATGTGGGTATACGTAAAAGCCGTGACTTTGTAACTCGACAGACTCACTATTACGAATTTTCGTACAATTACACCTTACGCGATAATAACGTTCGCGAGAAGCAAAAGAGGAGAGAGGCTCCTCCGATCCGAATGGGGGAAACTCGCGTGCAAGTGCAAATTTCGAAAAAGAAATATATTAACGGGTAATCCTAACGAAATAACGAGCAAGAAATAAGTCACGTCGTTCGGGCGACGGCGAGAAAATGTGTGATAACACGTCGTAGAGACACGCGCACCTCCGCTTTTCGTGCTCGTGAGAAATTAGAAGAAAGACTCACAGTAGATGTAAAGGACCAGCAGAAACTTTTAACGGCTTGCACGTAACTTCTCACCGAGTGACGTCCAAAAAGTTCCGCCGCATAGTGTGCAGAACGCACGGAGATAATATCTCCAGTCTCACTGTTTTACAGATTTTTTTATTATTATATATATAGGAAGAAATCTCTACTTTCCAACGAAGTTACTGTCAACGAAGGTTATATTTCACGAGAAACAGCCCTGCGACAAGGAGGATTTTTCTGTTACACTCTGCGGCGTCAACGATGAAAGAGAGGAAGAAAAAATTGTTTGAGCACGTCGTTATGTTTCTCTGATTCGTCGTTCGCGTCTACTCCGATTCGCGAACAATCGACCAGTCCCCAATAAACGCAATGCTCGTGTCCGTCACGTATGATCGCGATAATTTTGTTTCTCGCTACTTTACACGGCCCGACGTTGTCCATCAAAAAAAAGAACAACGTTTCACGATTTCGAGGTAACGAGATTGAAACGCGGTAGTAAAGCATTAGTGTCGATATAAATGATTACGAGGTAGGTATTACTGTTACTGTTGATAGTCAGGTATCCTCGTCGATGAGTTTGCTTAACCATCTTACAATCTAATGACGAAATCAACGGAGTATAAAACGAAAGATCAACCATGCCCTTCCAACGATTCACGAAACAGAAAGAGAGAGAAAAAAAAAGAGAGAAAGAGAGGCGGCAGTTTTGCGATTTGAGATTCTGTATGCCTGTCGCGGATATTGTCCCTGAAGGCAGAATGTTTTTCACAACCTACAATTTTCTGAATCGGACTAGAGATGCGTTCGTTCATTTGCCCCCTCACGCATCGTTCGCACCCTTTCCTTAATTAATAAGAAAAGAGACTGCCCGTATAAGCGAGGAAGAAACGAAGCGCGCGTGAGAATACGAATGCGATGTAACGTGCAAGGATGGAAATGGAGGATACGTAATTAGTTACAAGTAAAAAATAAGGAAGGACTAAGGGATATACAACAAATGACGAGAGGACTCGGCGTCTCCGTACGGTCTCGCCGAGCTTGTTCGAGCCTCTAGCGTGATATGATAAGACGTGCCTGCTACACGATGTCGTACGTAGCTTTCGAAAGTTTCACCGCTTTTTAGTTTTCTATACATATATGTTATTATTCTCTCTCGCGCGGTGTCGCCCCCCCCCCCCCCCCCCCCCCCC